AACATGGTCTTGACCTTGATGTACAGTATAAATCCAGTTCACACTACTACAAGAAGCTTAAAGCTCAAGAGGTAAAAATTCTGCCAGGTTTCCCCGTCCAGCTCCAAACAACCGCCACCGTGTGCAGAGGATCCAAAGGACCACTTCAACTCATCATACACAAACCAGTCACCTTGCGTTTGTTTGCCGCCGCCCGCTTTGGGACGGCAACGCTTCGTGTGTTAGACCAGCAAGACCACCATGTTACCTGTCAGGTATTAGAAGGCCATGTCCCTACACACGATGACCTCATTCAGGACATTTACGCTTTTGAACTACCAGAAATGGCGACATCTTTCCAGACATACTGGTCGCAATTTTGGAATCGGGATTCAGATTCGGATGAACACAGTGACGACTCTTGGCAGGAACTTCTGCAAACGCTTCGTAACCGTATCCCACCTACTGCTCCACTCACGATCCAGTGGAATGATCCTCATCTTTTGTCTCAGACAATTCAACGACTGAAGCCTTTCAAGGCAGTGGGCATTGATGGATGGAGAGCTGAGGAACTGCAGATGCTTCCACCCGCAGCCATACAAGATTTCGCGCATATTCTAGAATCGATCTGGCCCACTGGCCTTTCGGCGCACCAACTCATAGCCCGTGTGATTCTTTTGGCTAAACGAGTCCCACCTACATCCATTTCCGACGGTCGTCCAATTACAATCCTGGGTTACATTAGCCGCCTCACATCCAAACTTATTGCCGACCAATTGTTACATCAGTGGACACATACCTGGCCAAGTGCCATATCGGGGGGTCTTCCATTCAGGAGCGTACAAGATATTACCTTTATCCAGCAATATCAGATCGAATCAGCTAAGCACCGGTCACTGCCTTGGCGAGGTTTTACCCTCGACCTTATCAAAGCATTTAATCTCTTACCCCGTCGGGTGCTGTATCACTTACTCATCTATCATGGCGCACCACCTCAAGCCATTCGTTTCTGGTTTACAAACCTCAGCCGCATGACTCGTCGTCTGCAGATTCGTCAACAGGTAGGTCCCCCTATCACCATGACTACGGGAGTCCCTGAGGGAGACAGTATGTCTGTCTGCGCCATGCTTGTTGTGTCATCAGCATTTTACTGGACCCTTCAGTCCCCCACTGTTTTTCCATACGCATATGCTGATAACTGGTCCTACCTCACAACCACACAAAGAGATAATCTCCACGCACTCCGGCAGCTGCAACGTTTCGTTGAAGATCTTCGTATGCAGATAGATTATACTAAATCCTGGGCATGGGGCGCTACAAAAGAGGCGCGGTTGGAATGGCAAACGCTCCTTGAAGAGGAATTTCCTGATGATAACCCGGTTTGCATCCTTAACTCAACCAAAGATCTCGGTTGTATGACTCATTTTACACGCCATATTACACTGGGACACCTTAAAACAAAGATTAATAGTGCAGTCCAGAGATGTCGTCGACTGCGTTGGTTCCAGACCACCATCACCCAAAAGGCCCAGTTTATCCAAACAGCAATTTGGCCACACGCTTTCTTCGGAGCAGAAACTCAAATTGTCGGGGAAAAGCACTTTCGAACACTCCGACGTGAGGCAACCATTGCCTTAATAGGACCGGAAAAACAGATCTCAAGCTGGCTCGCAGTCCACCTGTTTAGTTCCCAACTTCAAGACCCTCTACTATATGTTATCGCCACAGGACTGTCTTTTATACGTCGGCTCTATCATACTAATCCGCAGCTTGCACAAGAATTTGTTCAGTCCATAGTCTGTCACACCGGACCGCCCCTTGGTCCAGCAGGAGCCATGGCCAGATATTTACAATTAGTTGGATGGTCCCTAGCCACGGACGGTTCTCTCACACTCGATGGTTATTTGTCTGTCTCATTGAGACATGAAACCCTTCGATCGATTCGACACATGATCAGACGCTCTTGGGCATATTACCTTAATCGTCAGATTTGCCATCGCAAAGGAGTCTCTGTCGATCCTTTCGATTATACCATTTTGTCTCGTGCTCTGCGATCAATGTCTCCCACGGCTATTCGTCAGGTTGCCTATAATCTTACTGGAGGATACCAAGTGGGTGCGGTCAAGGCCCAATGGACATCTACCGTTGACATCAAATGTCCTCATTGTGGGCAACCCGACACGCATACCCATCAACAGTTGGACTGTCCCAAATTCCATGCTATTCGACAACGTCATCCACAGGCAGTGTCATACCTAACTCGTAATCCACAGAAACTATGGCTCCCACTGCCACATACTTTCCCGGACATTACCATCCTGCGACAGCTCCTTGCGCATCGTGGCGCAGATACAGGCCATACACCCATTCGCCTCCATGATGACACACTCTATTTCTACACAGATGGGTCCGCCGATACACCAACTCACCCTGAGACTCGCCGGGCGGCTTGGTCACTCATCCAGTTCTGTCCACATCTATCCTCTACACCATATATCACAATCAAAATCCAACATGTGCAAGGACAACAGACTATAGCCCGAGCCGAACTTGCTGCCATTACATGGATTATACAGCACGTGCGACAACAATCTTGGCCACACAAGATCACCATTACCACAGATTCCCAATATGCCATGAACGCCGTTAGCCAAGTCTCTCAGCCTAATCCTTCACTACAGTGGCATCGACTCGCAAATGCCGATCTTTTGCAAACCCTTGTCACTTGTTGGGATCCTGAACGTTTTTCATTACGTAAAGTTCGATCCCATCAGGACCCACAAACCCTACCTCCGGGTCCCGCCCGTGATGATGTCATTGGCAACTCGTGGGCTGATCATGCCGCAGTCCGAGCGCGTCATACTGATCATGTTCAAATTGACACACTATTTCAACGAGCAGACCTCTGGCATCAGGACCAATTACGCCAGACACAGTGCATTCTCACCTATCTTGCTGATCTTAACCTGTGTCATGCTCAGGAGAAACAACAATCAAAGCTTCAGACGTATACTGATCTATCTCATGATACATCATTAGATTGGGGTGCCCTCTATAGGTCCAGAGCAGTTTACACCATCCATGCTGCAGTCCACTTTTTCCGTCCCCATATACACCCTGCTTTCGTTACTGCTTGTGTTTGGGGTAACCAATATGCAGATTTAGTCCTTCAGTTTTGTGCCGCACTCCGATGGCCAGATCCAGATTTAGACCACTCTGATCCAATTGTGACTTCTGGAATTACATGGCTTGAATTGACCATAGCATTCGTAATTAATACAGGCCTCCAATTTCCCACTTGGCTCTGTCTTGACGACCACAAACGTTCACAACCATTACACTGGCAAGACCCACGGGTCCTAGCCTTACCAACTATCAAACGATCGCTACGAGAACAAGCTGAGGCGTTTCGCACCATCGTTCTATACCTTCAGGGTTACTCAGATACCCCCCTGCTGCCAAGATTTACCAAGACTGGTTCTATCAGCCTTACACAAATTGGATGGGGAAGATCCTTTACAGGGGGCATGCCTTTGCGACCAGAGATCCCTAATTCCGACCTTGTTCAGCGAACGATTTCGCGATATGTTGAAGACCTTCAATGCAAACCACCTTTTCATCCAGATGGCTTGATTCCCATGCGACATGCCTCACCGATTTTTGCAGTTCCGCCGGCTACAGAGCTTACGTTTCATCAACGTTTTCTGTACCGACGTAAACTTCGCGAAGCATGGCATCGAGGAGGGGATCTGGACGGAGTCTCAGTGCCACCAGCACCTAATTAGTTCAGTGCAACCACTTTGCAGAATTCCTAATTTGCTAGTCTGTCATCCTAGCACTTTGTATAGCCACCTTTTCACAATGTCTTACCACAAGATATTTACCGAACTCCTCGACACCCTCCAACACGGAGAAGGGTCGTAGGAAGCGTGCAGACCGCGACCGCAAGTTTCGTGAGTAGTAAGGCCAGGAACCCCTAGCAGCATCCTTGCTCCTAGTAGTAAGGCCAGGAGCCCCTAGTAGCGTCCTTGCTCCTAGTAGTAAGGCCAGCAGCCCCTAGTAGCATCCTTGCTACTAGTAGTAAGGCCAGGAGCCCCTAGTAGCATCCTTGCTCCTAGTAGTAAGGCCATAGTAGCATCCTTGCTCCTAGCAGCGATGCCCTTTGCTCCTAGTAGCATCCTTGCTCCTAGTAGTAAGGCCAGGAGCCCCTAGTAGCATCCTTGCTCCTAGTCGTAAGGCCAGGAGCCCCTAGTAGCGTCCTTGCTCCTAGTATAGTAAGGGCAGGAGCCCCTAGTAGCATCCTTGCTCCTAGTAGTAAGGCCACGAGCCCCTAGTAGCATCCTTGCTCCTAGTAGTAAGGCCAGGAACCCCTAGTAGCATCCTTGCTCCTAGTAGTAAGGCCAGGAGCCCCTAGTAGCGTCCTTGCTCCTAGTAGTAAGGCCAGGAGCCCCTAGTAGCATCCTTGCTTCTAGTAGTAAGGCCAGGAGCCCCTAGTAGCATCCTTGCTCCTAGCAGCGATGCCCTTTGCTCCTAGTAGCATCCTTGCTCCTAGTAGTAAGGCCAGGAGCTAAGGCCAGGAGCCCCTAGTAGCGTCCATGCTCCTAGTAGTAAGGCCAGGAGCCCCTAGTAGCGTCCATGCTTCTAGTACCAGTAGTAAGGCCAGAAGCCCCTAGTAGCGTCCATGCTGCTAGTAGTAAGAGTGTGTTTTAGCTCGCTCTCCTCTCTACAGAAACTCGTTCTCCTTGGCACACGCTGCATGGTACTCACGAGGAAGCTGTGTCGCCGCCGGTGCTGGGTGCCATTTGGTGGTTCCTGGCACGTTGCTGGTCTTCTAGGAAGCTACAAAGCCGAAAGGAGGCAAACACTCTCCTTCTCGAAGATTGCGGCGCATCACTGAGCCGTTGCTGAGGAGTGCCAGAAGATCCTCCAATGATAAGTTACATAGATCTGAGCTATGGTCGACTCACTGAATGCAAACTGCAAATCCCTTCCCTCGCCGTCCTGTCCAGAGAACGAGACACTTACGCCGGAACCTCCAAGGTGCACCTCTCCAGAAAAGCATCAGTCTGAAAGACTGGCTCAAGCTTCGTTTCAGTGAGCCCGCGCGCCTCTCCCGCAGCAATCCAGCCAGAGGAACCCTCTTTGAAGAGTGAGACAATGTGAGGCATGTTCTCAAAGAGCAAGGCCACCAAGCGATTTCCAGGTTCCTCTCGGAAATTTGCACAATCCATATATGAGACCTGTTCTAGAGTTTGAGAGAGGTCTAGAGATCTAGAGTTCCGGCGATCTTGAGTTCTAGATGTCTGGTCTTGGCCCCCAGACGTTGACATTTCTAGAAGTCCAAAGGTTGAAAGAGATCTATATACAGTAAAGGTCCAGGCTCTAAAGGGCTAGGGACCCAGAGAGATCTAGAAGCCCAGAGGTCTAGAGATCTAGAGTACGTGTGAGAGCACACATATGAGACACACTTGACAGCACACACAAGAGAGCCCACATATGACAGCACATTCGCTGTGCCACAAGATCTGCACTTCCAATTTTCACAAAGCGCTGCGCTTGCCACGAAATCTGCACTTCGAGGTTGAAAACAAGCCACCATGTCCAAAGTACTGCACCTGCCACGAAATCTGGACATCGCAGTAAATCCGCTTCAGTCCCCTGCACCTGCCGCAAAAAGTCGACTTTGGACTTTGGACCACCAAAAAACGAGGTTTCCCTTGCGCCTGTACCGTAAGAACCCCCAGTGCGGCCACACTGTTTGGGGAAAACACTTGAATCACCTGAAGGAAAACCTGGAGCAAAACATCACAAACAGAGCCTCATGCTGGGTGATCGCTGCCGCATGTAGCTTTGAATTTTCTGGAAGTGGCAGCTTCTTCTGGAGCATGCAGGACCAGCGTCCTTCAGGAGTTCCAAGCAAAGCTGCCCTTTACACTCCTCGATGCCTTGCAAAGACACAAGTGAAAATGAAGTGTCTCCAAGCCTTCTTCAGGTCCTGTCCCTGGGCAATGGAAGAGCTCCCCAACCTGACATGCCATTATTGACAACGCCTTCCAGAGATGTTGCAGCTTCTATCCGACACCTGCTTCAAAAAAAATATCTGTTTCACCGTTGTATACCCCAAGAAAAGAACCGCTCCAAGAATAAACCACTGAGACAAGCGCGAGCCTTCGTGATCAGCTGTAGACCCTTCTCCCAATGGCCACCAGCAATGGAGTTGGCTCCCAGGCCCTCCATGGCAAATGACTTCGCTTCCTGTCACTGGAAGAGAATGCCACCGACGAGCACCAGTCACCGGGAATGTTAGCATGTTAACGTGAATGGTGGCAATCTGAAATCTGTCGCAAGAAGTCACTGAAGTTAGTGACTTCAGTACATCTTCGCCTCTGCATCTTGATTTGAAAGATGTGCACCAAAGCCGCGGGGTGTCAAAGCGATGAGCTCAGGACCCCTGTGCAGAAAGAGACTGTGCTACCAACTATATACCATGTATATATTATATACATGTATAGTTACTATGAAACGCATCAGGGATTGCACCAGAAATGCACGTTGTCTCTATCTCATTTGAGTTTTAGGCTGATGTCAGCACTAAGACCATGGCTTGCACAGCAGGTGCTTCGGCTCAAAGAGCGATGGCCAATTCACCTGCGCTCCAATCCCTATCAAATCCTATCATTCCAACATGACCCCCAACTTTGTTGGCCCGCTCTTACTGAATCAAGCAGTAGGTGCCTACTTAATTAAGGGAGAAGTAAGCTACTCAGCTACTAGCCAGGATGCAGGATAGCTCACGCTTCTTCGTTTGGTTCCTAGCTTTTTTAGGCAAACTTGGAATCCACGACCCCTAAGTATTCAACACACAAAACCAGTGTGGTCAGGCCGTTCTCAGCTGCTCGGCACCTTCTTGGCCTTGGGTGCAGTCGGTGCCATGAACGGAGAGCCAATGGCCGGTGCAGGTGCCAAGTCGTAGAGCGGGGCAGCGGAATTCGCCTCCACAATTGGAATCTTCTGACCGTAATCTGAGGTGAAAAGCGTCTTCCAACACGTCGACTGCTCAAGAAATCACTACGACTGGAGTTGGGATCACCCCATTGCACCACTCATGAATAGCATATATTCAACACACTCAGTATTCAACCAATTTGTTCTCTGGAATCAGCATCCGTCTTCTGCCTCCAGCTTCTCAAGGGAATCTTGCAACCAGTCAATGCCGTCAGCAGCTTTCAGCAGTTCGCGCAACAAATGGCCGTCTGCACCTAGAGCCCGTCGAAGGGCTGCAGGCAGAGCCGTAGGGAGATCAACGTCACGAGGCTACCAAGTTAGGGAGAGCTTTGAGAGCATACCCATACGACACCTCTAACGAGATTAGAGACTGGCAAAGGCTTCAAGAAAGCCGACCAGTTAAAGCTGGTAATCTAAAACCTAGAAACTGTCCTGACACTTGATCTGACCCGCTTTTCAGCTGGAGTGGTTTCAAGCCTTGCAAGCGTCGATGTCCTTGCCAGGAGTGATGTCAGTGGTAGCTGGTAGCTCATTCAAGCTCCACAGCTCTGCAAGCAAAAAAGGCAACAGCTCTACAAGGCAGTTCATCGGTCCTCCAGCACCGTGGCCTTCTGGAGAATGGGTATCATGGGAATCACCATGAGTGTCGGCTGCATGGGAGTCAGCAGCATGGGAGTCAGCAGCATGAGTGTCGGCTGCGTGGGAATCGGCTGCATGGGAATCACCCGCATGTGTCTCGTCTGAGTGGGATCCACCCGAATGTGACTCATCCTCCTGGACACCGCTCACGCCAACACCCACGGAGTGAATATCATCAGATTTGTAGCCTCAGAAATGAACGGCATGGAATCTCCGCATTCCACCTCACAGTTTAGCGTTGACCCTTTTCTCTAGGAAAGTCGCCGCCAATGGAGCCATCATCTTCATACTTGGCCAGGGTGGAGGACTCAAGACGGTAGTCACCTCGCAGGTTGGAGCATTTTGCTGCAAAACTGCAAAACTCTGCTGTGGAACTCTGTTTCCAAGGCTATGTTGAAAGAGAACACCAACCCATGACCCCATGGCGAGTAGACTGTAGACAACCACCACAGGACTGTGCGTAGCATGATGCGAAGAAGTGAGTGCTTTGACTAAATCAGCAAAGACACCGGGCAGTGGCATGCTGCTCATATGCCAAGCATCAGGCTTCCAAACGTTGACCATCCTGCGGAGTAAATGCGTCACAACTAATACGTTCATGAGAAATAGCTCTGAGGCTGGAGCTTCTGGTCACGGATCCATGGCGGCTCACCAGGAGGCTTCATCACCGAGTCTTGGCCAATGGTCATCTCCTGACTAAGTCCAGCTCTGGATGTGATCAACCTTTGACGAAGACCCAACAAGCTCTGAGGGCCAGGCAACGAACAAGCAAATAGCCATGTAAACCCTGGGAGCAACAAAGGAACTGCATCGAAGTGATTGATGAGGACTCAAGAAGGCAAACACATCTCGTTGACTTGAGTTTTCCGCTATCAGAAGGCACTCTTTATACCAGTTGCAGTGCAGTTTCAGGTTCGCAGGTCTTCACTAAGGTCAGATCCACCCAAAGGCCACGGTACAAATTGCCACTCGCGCCAGTTGCCAGGGTAAGTCCTCAGCTTTCAGTACAACTGGCTTGGCTTGACTGATACATCAGCACCACAAAAAGAAGGAAAGCTCTTGAGGCGCCGGCCGGGGAACGAGCTTCTGCAAAGGCCTTGAATGGAGATCGTCCTGTGTAGGCACCCTCTGCCTGTCGGCGCATTTGTTGCTGAAAGGACAAAGCATTGCGCTGCTCAGCGGGCATGCTTGGCAAGCCTCACCATTTGCAGGATCCATTTCACCAAGGCCTTCACCAACCTCAAAAGATGAGGTCATGGTAAAATGAAAGTGATGAAAAGGAGCTGCCCGAATCTTGAATTCTTGCAGACTCCGTGGCCTCCTTCACCTTGACTTTCTGACCCTTCTTGTCGCCCTGGCACTTCGACTCAAACTTGTTACACTAGTAGCGTCCTTGCTCCTAAGGCCAGGAGCTTCTAGTAACGTCCTTGCTCCTAGTAGCGATGCCCTTTGCTCCTAGCAGCCACTTGCTCCTAGTAGTAGGGCCAGGACCCCTAGTAACGTCCTTGCCCCTAGTAGCGATGCCCTTTGCTCCTAG